TTGTATAAATAATTTGTCAAAAAATTCTCTTGTACACTTTCCAAGGGTGGAAAGTGGCTGGTGAAAATAATTTTGGCCTAACACTTTTTTATTACTCATCTTAAAAAACTTTTGGAACAGTTTGAAAGTAGATACCAACAATTTACCATTATTGAACCCGTGGCTAATTTTTCGTAAATCCTTTTATTACAAAGTAGACATTACTGAAACTATTAAATCTATAGCAGAACTTCAAGAAACATTGATAAGTGAAGAGATTTTAGATTTTCAAAATGACATCATATTTTAAAATCTCACGATACATATAAAAACTTTTGGAATTAGTATAATCTTTTGAAAAAAAAGGAGCCTTAAAAATCAATCCTGTTTTGGTAACACATATTTGTGTAAATCTTTATTTTCCACCATGATTATTATAAAATCAAAAATCAGATCTCAACTTACAAATGCCAGCCTTAAAGACTGCATTTCATTTGCTAATTTCTTACATTGGGAGTGTAAGATGATAATCCCAATCGTAAACAGTGTCAAAGATCTGACTAATTCTGCTTTTATAATAAATATATATGTTACAGTAAATATATTACAAAACGCAAGTTATAATAAAGGTCATGATATTTAATTTATTTTTTTTAAATCCAATTTGCACTCATCACTATTTTTTGAAACCTCAATGTGCCTGCACCACAAAAAAGGTTGGGAACCCCTGCTCTAAAATATCTAATCATTCATTATTCAGTTAGTTTTATTGAACATTAATTTTATTCATAACTGACTTTATTTCACACCTCCTAATTGAAACATTATTCTGATGAAGTGTTTTGTGACATCATCACATCATAATTTTTGAAATCACATATGTCACTTATTATCGTGTGTTTATCCCTTCTCATCTAAAAAGTGTGATGTAATAGACATTAAAATTTTCTTGCAGATAGAAGTACAATACATATACATTTCAACCTACCAATTTTAGTGTATTTTACTGGCTTTTTTAACATTCATAATACATATTTCAGGCATTTTAAAGTGCTTCTAGCAATGTGTATATCTGATGTTTTCATGTACTGTACATATTTATGCTCATATAATGTTGTTTCAAACACACAAATCCAGCTATTAGTTATGTCTGTAAAGCATTTTAAAAATTTGTCACTCAACAACACAACAATTTTTTAGTATAAAAATTACCAATAATTCGTTGAGTTTCTGTAAACAAAACAGCCAGCAAGAAGCAATAGTAGATAGAGTTAGAATGAGAAGACATTCTGTATGTTAGAAAATGAAAAAAAACATGTCCATTCTGACAGTGCAAAAGCAATTTCAAGCTGAATTCAAGAAGAATCTGCCTGTGCACAACAGTACAAGTGGTATATTAGAAATTCCAAAATAAAGATTACCTGCACAATATTTTTCTCAACCAGAATGTCCATGGCCACTTAGAGTGAACTGTGTTTTACAAGCTAATGCATGTTGTCCTCCACAAGTGCAAGCTTAGAACTTAGCAAGTCACAATGAACAATATCACAAATTCTTCATAAGAGGCTGGAGTTTAAACCTTACAGGCATTATAAACTGCATCAAACTATCAGCATTAATGACAGACACATGCCTTCATTTCTGGTGGAAATAAAGATTTTTGGTTAAAGGTTTCAGGATTCAGTCATCTTTAGCAATGATGGACCTTTTCACTTATGTGTGGGGAGATAAATCAGCACAGTGTGTCAATTTACAAGTAATCATTAAGTATATGCAATTATTGCAGAAGATCAAGATATACAGGCCATTTTCCTTCACAGAAGCAATCATCATAGGGATGCATACAAGGGCATGGTGAATAACTGACCAACTGATGCCACTAGTTTAACAAAGACAAATGATTACATCTATCAAGATAATTAATTGTCCATTCATTAATCCCAAAGAAGTGAAACAGTACAGTAATGACAATCTCCCTCAATATTGATAATGTATTTTCCTGGAATAACCAGCATACTGGATAAACATTAGCATGCCTGTAACCTTGAGGTTTCTGGCATACAGAATGCCAGAAACCCCAAGGTTACAGGCATGCTAATTTTATATTTTAATTGCAGTTTAATCAGATCTAACAAAACTAGTTGTTAATTAAACATCAAAGAAAACATTCTTGAAAGTATAACAAAATAATAACGTTGTGATTTGACTGACTTAAAATCAAGAAGTGTTTTGTTTACAAAACAATAAAATAAAGACTTATTGGTTATAGGTCAGTGTGGGCTACACTAACCATATACCCTGACCTTAAAAATAACACCTACCTCTTAAATTTCACAGTGATGTTGAGAAAATTTATAGTAAATATATTTATGTTTTTTAATCAAATTACAAAAAAATAAAGGTAAAATAATCACTTTCAGAATTCCAAGGTTATTTTACATCTTTAGAAAGGACAAACTGAAGAAAATGATACAATCGTAGGTTTTTTTTTTTATGTAATGCTGACAGTTCCAGTTTTAAAATAAAAACTGGTTAGTTTTTTTAATGAACCCTCCAGAAACAGATGCATAACTTCACTTAAACCAGCATTGCAGCATTCCCCAGAACAAACAGGCATGCCAGCTTTTACCATAGGGAAATATCTGATTTCGTGATCTCCCGATACACCAGCATGCTGGTCATTCAGCAAAAATACAGTAGGTCTTGATAAAGTATTAAATGAGATGGCATTTCCAGTCACTGTTAACCTCATGAAAATTTTTTAGATGTGCAACTAAGTCTTCAAATAATACAGGAAAATGTAAATGTTTGTATAGTGATAATTGTAAGATAATCTTTAGTAATAGGATACTTTAGTGTATTTATGATATTAGGTACAATTAGGAGATGAGAACAGATGACCAATGTGACACCCCAAATGCATTTGCTATTAGGTGATGTCAATAAAGTCTAAATTTGTTCCTATTTGTCTAATTTTTCTTGTTTGATAAGGTCCGTTAAAAAAGCGACATTAAGCTTTAAATCTTTTAAGAAATTAATATTCAATTTCTATTAACTAAAATTCTCATAACAATAAGCAAAATGTTCAAACATGCATGACAAATTAAATTATTGAGCAAATAATTTAAATTGTGTAAACAAAAAAAGAATTGAAACTTACTAGTTACTACAAAACTAAGGGAAAACTTAATAGATATTAAAATTATAGTAAAAACATGGAAACAGATCTCTGTAGTGAAATTCCTCATTCCCATAGTGTTTGTCTATCCTGAAAGATATTTTCTACTTGCTGGATCAATTCTCTTCAGTTTTACATGTAGAATTACAAAAAATATAGAATTTTTCATCAGTACCTGCAGTTCAAAAATATGTGCATTAAATACAAAAAAAACATACATTTCCATCTTAATGGACAACTGTATATTTCTATATAGAATTCAAACAGAATTTCAGAAGTTTTATGGAGTAAATCAGTGAATCTAGTGTCCTTTACATCAGTCAAAACATGCCAGCAAATCACAAATCATCCTTATTATTTTGTTGTTAAATAAATTTTATCAGGTTTCAACATCTGTTTCAAATAGGTTACAACTTTAGCCAGGTTACAACTTCAAAATACCAAACTGAAAATAGCACTTTTCCATTTCTCCATATAGTCCAGCTCTTACGAATTTTGTCTTAGATATTAAACAAATAGTTGGATTCATTTATTGGTCTATCCATTTGATATTTGAAGTAATCATTGGGCTTGTTGTATTTATTTTTAAGTATATATAACACCATGCTGGGTTAGAACATATGCTGGCTGAGCAATGGATGGCCAAGGACATTAAGTCACCCTAGTTAGCACCAAGTTAATTAAATAATTTACATATAATTATATCTGTAATTAGTCTGGAAGCAAACATCAAATGGAGGTCCAGGCAGCATAACTAGCACATACACCTGCACAGTAAGGAAGAGTTAAAGGTTTAAAACCTGCTCTGGGCCAATTTCTTCTTCCAGAATATTCTAATATTACATTTTAGTTAGTTTTATATTTATTTTTAAATTTTTCAAGCGACAACAGCCTAACTTTGAAGTCAAGATGTCATAAAATCCATCCAATAACCGAAAATGTTTGTGTTACATTCCAAAATAATTGCAAAGCATTATAAGATTAGTGCAGTGTATTTAAAATGCCATAAGTTAATAGTTCAAAATACTTTTTAAATTGATTAAAAAGGTAAATATCTTCACATTTTGTGAATATACCAGTCCTAAAAATAGTAAGCCAGTATATTCTATAACAAGGTTATAATAATAAAACTGCTTAAAAAAGTTTTTGTAACGTTACAAAAATCAAAATTATGTACAAGAACATTTTACTTAATCTTAAATAATATCATTCTAAATATTTTAATCTATTTCTCCAAAAATATTATTAAAAAGATACCATAAATTTGAACTATAAAAAAACTTGAAAAATTAAATTTGTAAGTTTTGGAATAAAATGCATTTATCATCATGTACTTTAAACTGATAAAGTTATTTTATTATCCAGATTTTAGATTGTTCATTTTTCAATGCCTTAATCCAACTTAATTGCCAACTAAATAAAAACAAATCATGAGAGAACATAATACTAGAAAAACAAAATGTATATAATGCTGGAAATAAATATTTTACATTCAAGTATTTCATCTCTCCTCACTATCATTGAGATTTTGTTCATTTTATCCAGAAAGTAGAAACTATTTTGAATGCCTAGAGTGATTGATCTACTCAATGATTAAGTAGATGATCAATGCATCTGTAAAATATTTTGTAGTGTAATGTAAAATATTTCGTGTGTGTAAAAGTGTTACTTATTTTAGTTACTAAAATATATATGATTTTTGTATTTTGTTTAAATAATTTCAATTAATTCTTACACAACTAACATCTTTTAACAATATGAAAGTGAAGTTTATGCATTAATATCAAACAACTTTGCACAATGATCCGAACACCAGGTAACACACCTTCCACAATATACTTACATTTTCTGTTGTCATGGTCTGTTCCATTAACTTTGATGGTTCAACATCATAATCCCCTTCATCACCAGAAGGTTCTTCTACACTCATATGAGAATCTTGTTGAGATGGAAGGGCTCCGTGTGACTTCAAGGGAGGAACTCCATGATGTACAGAATGAAGGGAGGAAACCTGAGATTGTGGATGGCCGGATGGTGCAAGTCTTTGACGTGCATCATTGGTTGATTCAACTTCGGACGTCACCTCCTCAATGACTTCAGGAGAGTCTGGTTCTTTGATTTTAGATGGCACCTGGTCTTCACTATCACTACGATTTGAACCACTTAAAGATCTTCTCCTTGGCCTACCCCTTTTTCTCCTACTTAATGGAGGCGATTCTGCCCTATGTTGTGTTTGTGCTCCAGAAGCAGGAAGAGATTGAGGCGTATTTACTAAATGTTGTTGAATAATTTCTTGTTGTACAAGTCCTCCTGGTCCACCATGCCTATTATCACCTGTAACCTCTGCTAGACCTTTGACTTTTAGCGTCTCAGCTGTTTTAAGAAGTGCTGATAACTGATCTTGTGACACATTGACTTCACCACGATACATGAAGTCCACTATGGCTTTTAAGTCTGTATATTTCATGTCTTTCATAATAACAATTGGATGCTTGCAAGGGTTTTCCAAAAATAGACTCTGAAAGAAAGGACTACATGCAGAAAGTACCATTTTGTGGGCCTTTAAACTAAGACCTTCACATGCTAAAGTCACATCTACCAGGGCTTCACTTGACAGCAACTGGTCAAAAACAGTCAACATATTTGTTTGGTGATTGTTCCATTTTAAACAAAATTGTTGGGTTCCCATTTTTTTTGTTCGTTACGCACACAGATGAGTAGAACGCCACTTTGGTGACACAAATTGGTTACCTGAAAAAAAAATTTAAAATATTAATACTAATTACTAATCATATGCTAGTTTTATACAATAAAAATTTTTATTTTGTAATTAAGTTTAACAGATCTGTTCTGACAAGGATGCATATTAATGCATATTACCACCATCATTATCAACTGATGCTCAAAACTTATTGAAATGTACAGAAAAATCTTTTCATTGGCAAAATATTTTGTTATAAAAAGTTTAAAAATGGCACTATGTCTACAAATAAAATTTTCAAACCACTGCTTATTTCAAGTACAAAGTACAACACCAAAATTTCCAGACGAACCATCGTGAGGTATAATAATACTAAAATTCATCAACACACCTCTAAACCACTAATTATATATACACCTCCCATGTGTCTAAAGTATATCATAGCTACTAGAAACTTAAATATTAAATGTAAATTAAATAAACAAATAAATGAAATACAAGTACTTATATTGTATTTATATTAGTACTCTGCCTCTTTATATCAAACACCAGGGCCATGTTCAGTAACGCAGAACACCTAAGTTAGAATTCTGAGTGGCTTAGTGGGCGGAGCTAAGAATACATAAAAGAAGCTAGTGGTGGGTGGAGTCGAGCAGTAGTTAGAAATGAGTTCAACATTGCAGCATAACTAGACTTAGCAAGAATTCTGCGTTACTGAACACAACCCAGTTGTCACCAATACCATGGATGTCACGCAGCTTACACAATGAAACACCATGGTCAATTTTTTTTTTAACAGTTGTACTTATCTTTGACCAATATTGACTGAGATCAGGTTTGATACCACCACTAACACTCTTCTCCTTTAAAAGCCACAGCTAGGGTTAAAGTTAAGTAAAATTAAGAATATCACAAAACTGTTCAGTGTAAATAAGCATGCCTAATATACAATGCCATCTGTGGCTGCCCAGTGAATTAATCCAGCGACCATGGGAATTTCAAGTTCCCTCTCATAATTTTGCTTAATTAAATAAAGCATATAAAGGACAATCAGTTGCCAGAAATTAGGTAGTGTATCTAGTATCTAATCAAGTTCGGGGTAATTTCATCACCAGTGCCTGAAATTAAACAGGTTATTCTAAGCTGAGGGCCTATTTAACAGTTTAAGATAATAAAGATATACTGAACTACCAAAATTCTTGTGCTAAAAGTGATATATTTTTTATGCAGAATTTTGGAAAGAATTGAATTATTAGTTATAGATGTGTGTTTATTTTATCAGATTATAAATCAACTAATAACAGAGTCTGAATCACATATCCTTACTCCTTAGAAGTTTCTAGGATAACATTCAAACTCATAGTAACAAAAACCAAGACAAATTGCAATTTTAAAAAAGGTAAGACAATAAAATTAGTTTGAGGCTTGGATTCTGTAGCTGAGAAAAACTAAAATTATCATAACATTATATTTTGATAACTAGTTTTGACACCAATTACTAATTTTAAAATTTTAATAAATAAACAGAAGTGAAAAATTAGATGAAAATTTTAATTTTTTCTTACACACATGTACATTTTTGATTTTTTTACTTTGTGATAGGTAATTACTTGAATGTTTGAATTTGAAAATGCTTGCATTATATATTTTGTGTTTAAGCATTTCATATTGGTGATACCAGTAAACTGTAAGACAGCAATATAAAAATTTTAATAACAAATGCAAAAAAGAGCAAGTTTGTTTACATTATTTAATGTCAATGGTTGTGTTGTTGGTGTGAATATGAGTTTGTGTTATTAACAACACAACCACTGACATTAAATAATGTAAACAAACTTGCTCTTTTTTAAATTAGATTTCAAGAAAAGGATTTAGTTAAAATTTTCTTATCTGATCAGACCCAACTGCCAGCATTTAATTTCCATCTTTTAGAATCAATTTTACATAATTTTATATTTAAAAAATCAGTACAGTAGAATATTGATTATCCAAATATTGATCAGCTGAAACAATGGTTAACCAAAAGCGTTCGTTGGCAAATTCAAATTTCTGCTAGTGCTGTGGTGCTGCAGCACTCTCCCCCCTGCCAACCTAAACTGTACCTATGTAAGGTACAGTTTATACAACTTTATGTAAGGTATGTATTTGTAAGACACGCAATACAAAATATATACAGTACAGTTTTATGTTTAATATATTTTTTGTAAATGATCAATTATCCAAAAAATCAGTCATCCAAACAACTCCAGTCACAAATTGTTTCAAATAATCAATGATCTACTGTTTTAATTATTGTATATGATTACTTGTATTGCTGAAAGTTCAGAAAAATGCAAACATATCTGTGCACTATTATTGTTTGCTTATGAGTTTAATTTATAAATGGATGTTACAAATTAATTAATATTCATTAAACTCATTCAAAATTCAACAGTTACAGGCAACACTCATCACAGAACTTGCATAAAAACCTTGCAATTAAATTAGAAATGTCAAAAAACCTATTGTTTTTGTAAATCTCCACTATTAATTTGCTAGCTGTTAAAAATCATGAAATCCCAACAACTTTGTTTGTTTGGGAAGATTTCTGTGACTAGTTTTTACTGAACTTGTGTTTATATCAGAACATTACATTTTGTATGACTAAGATTAATAAATTTGTTAAATTGAATGTTTTTTTAGTTATTTTGGTTTTGATTTAACCAGTTGTTAAATTTTTCTGGTTATGTATTACTACACTTCATTCTTTCATTCATTCTTTTGGAAGTCATAATAAGATAATTTTTGTTGCAGTCCTAAATTATGCCTAGTGGATGTGGTAAAAAAAGCACTGATTTTCTAGAATCTAAAGTATACAAAATTTGGACTGTTTTAAAAAAGAAAAAAATGTATCACATGTTCCCAAAAGTTTATAAGCATAAATTTTTGGGAACATGCAATATGTAAAGAAGCAAATCCACATAATAAAGAAATAATGGAAAATTAGAACTGCTATTACTGCAAAATGCAAAATCCATTCCCCAAAACAGCAATTTCCATCCTTTTTTGGACTTGGCATACCCCCCTTGGCAGCCCATTTTTTCCAAGTTTTGTTTCCCATTTTCTTATTTTTTTTTTAAGTTTTATTTAACATGTTTGTCAAACATCAGCGCATTAGTCAATTATACAGAATTGTTCAATTATGTGTAAAAATAAGTTGTTCTTTTAAATCAAAAAGCATTGGAGGAAGGACATATAGATGTAATAAAAATATAATATTTTAAAACTAAGCATAAAGACCGTGACATTACCAAAGGCCTCAAATGCAGAATCCAAATATTCTTATAGTACTATACAGTACATCCACCATTATTAATTTTTTTCACATATCCATAGAAACACACATCCCTGCATTGGGAATCGCTGTCCTGAAGTATAACTTTTATTGTCTTTTGAAAGTTAATCCCTTTCTTGTAGTGATATTCAGTCTTGTTTAACATGATAGGTTCCTGTACTATCATGTTATACAAGACATGTTATATCAAAGTGCTTGCATTTAGAATTTGGTTTGAATTTTTTGACTTAAGGTGCATTGATATTAAATGCTTGGAGTGTCTTTGGAATAATTTATTTTATAATAATTAACATACAATGCAATATTAAAATATGTTGATTTTGTATAAGTGTTAGCATTAAAAAAAATTATAATTTTGTATGATTTATTTCAGTTGTTTTCACTGACAGAACAGTATTCTCATTGAGAAAATGATGCAAAGATGTTTTTATATTTTTAAAAGTTTTTATTTTTCAATTTTACTTTCCTGAACAGCATACATTGTTACATTATTGGTAAAAACAATGAAAAAAATTATAAAATAAATCAAGGTATTTTATCATAATCTTATTTTATATAACTGTGTGAGCATCTTTACATTCTCAGCCTTAGTAGTCAATTTAAATTTTACAGGAAAAAAACACTTCTCATTGTTTACTAAATTATATAGAAAGAAATCTTACCTACTAATTTTAACCTGTAATAACTGTTGTAATCATAATAAACTTCATATATACAGTATAGTAACTCCTTAATACTTACCATTAGCATAATTAAAGTTTATCATAAATATTTTTTATAACTACATATTATAAGAATTGTGTTTAAAACAGATTAAAATATGTGATAAATCCTTTTTTTAAGTTTGTCTTAACTTTGTCACAAAAAAATTGTGCAATGTTATTTTGTAAACATATTAACATCTTGCAAACTCATTTTTGTTCATGAATATTATTCTGAATATTAAGCTAGTGTAAATATAAAAAGAGATTGAAGAACACAAATCAAAGAAGCTCAACAGATCAAAATTAAATGCACAATATATTTCTTTTTGTACTCTTTCAAATAATTTCTGCTATTTGCAAACATTCTTCAAACTAAGATTTTGTCCAGAGAATTACTTGTTACTTCTAGTGGATACTCATCTTTTGCAATGAGGCTGCAATTTCATTTTCTTCTTCCATTAATGGGATAATTGCCTTTCATGATTTTCAGAATTCAATATGCACATTCTGCTTCTTGAATTACAAAGATACAATAGACAGGAATTCACCAGATATAACTTGAAGTTCTCTGGACAAAAAAACTTGAATACAGTTTGAAGAATGTGTTTGCAAATGGCAAAAATTAAATGAAAAGAAATAGAAAGATAATCTATTCCACATAAAGTAATTCTTTCAAATCAGGATATACTAGCTTTAGTAGTGAGAAATACTTTATAAAACAAATCAGTCGTATGAAAGAATCATATCTAAGCACTTAAAACAAGTGTTCTGAATTTGTCAATCATAAATCACAACAGAATAATCAAATCTAAATCACATTAAAAATAATTTCAACAAATCAAACTAATAATTATACATTCATAATTATAAATTCCTGTAATAGTGATACTTTTATCTAATAAAAGAAATAAATGATTACATAAATATTTAATTACTGAATAAATTTTGAAAATACAACTCTTAACAATATAGATCAAAAATACAGAATTGTAACATGAAAACTCTTTCAAGC